CGTGAGGATTCCACTCGTGTCGGTGGCGCTGGTGTTGTCCGTCGTCAGGCCGTTGATATGTCTCCATTCCGTCGGGTCAACTACGCCCTCTACTTGTTGGCCACTGGAGCAAGAGAAGCCTCCTTCCGAAACTTGAAGACCATGGCCGAGTGCCTGGCCGAGGAACTCATCAACGCTGCTCGTGGATCTTCCAACTCTTACGCCATCAAGAAGAAGGATGAAATTGAACGTGTTTCCAAGTCCAATCGTTAAGCCGTATCGCTGTGGTTGGCCACACTGTTGCGGCAGTGGTCCTGTGCTGTGTCTACTGGCTCCCCGTAATAGTGGTTAATCTAGAGGAAAAGAAATTGCATTCAACTAGCTAGTGGCTCTCTTGACCTTGAGTTTACTCGTCAATCTTCAATGATGTCTAGTTTCACACTGGCTGGGGCTTGATGGAGGTGGCTGGCCATTTGGCCTTCTTTTTGCACAACTGATGCTTTGGCTGTTAGCGAAGAGAGACTCCACTCAATGGGAGGACGAATTGAATCAAACCAAGAAGCAAACTCCAGAGTAACGAGTAGAGCTACTACTCCAGTAGCTAGCCCGACCAACTACTCCGGTAGCAAGAGAAGCTTCCAAGCTACCGTGGCTTCGTAAAAGTAGTGGCATGTTATGCTAGCTGGGAACATCCAAAGGAGCCATTACCAGCTCTACGAGCTTGTTGCTTGAATTTCATCTCCCTGAGACGATTTGCTTTGGGGGTAAGGGTACTGTTCGGGGCGGAGGTTTAAATTATACCCCGCTCGCACTACTTAGAGGCCTCTTTAGAAGTCTATGTGAAAACCCTGGTATCGTTTTCACGGGATACAGTCAACGCATGTACATGCACATGAAACTCGCCTTGCGTTCTTCACATTTTTTGCATGAATGAGGGAGCCATGGAGGGAGTGGTGGAGGAAGAGGAAGAGGGAGCGGTATCGCGCGGAGTGCGCACGGCGATTAATGTGCCGGTATAAAAGATTTATGGATAACCAGTTTAAACGATTTTTAGGAAACAGAGAGGACCCAGTGGGCATATGAATGATTGAGTCAAATGAGTCAACTGTTTCACTTTCGAGCCCTTTCAACATCATTATCTCATCATTGCTCATGCACGAGAAGTTGTTTTGCTCGTCGTGTTGTTGTTGTTTGTTGTTGTTGTGTTGTTGTTGTTTGTTGTTGTTGTTGTTGTTGTTGTTGTGTTGTTGTTGTTGTTTGTTGTTGTTGTGTTGTTGTTGTTGTGTTGTTTGTTGTTGTTGTTTGTTGTTGTTGTTGTTGTTGTTGTTGTTGTTGTTGTTGTTGTTGTTTGTTGTTGTTGTGTTGTTGTTGTGTTGTTGTTGTTGTTGTTGTTTGTTGTTGTTGTTGTTGTTGTTGTTGTTGTTGTTGTTGTTGTTGTTGTTGTTTGTTGTTGTTGTTGTTGTTGTGGTACAAGATCCATTGTGAATCATCAACATCAACATCAACATCAACATCATCATCATCATCATCATCATCATCATCATCATCATCAACAACATCAACATCAACAACATCAACAACATCAACAACAACAACATCGAGACAACACGTCTTTCCACAGGAGGGGCAGTTGGTGCTTCTTGGCCACCATTCGATGACCGCACTGCACCGGGAACAGGTGCATGCATCGGCACAAGCTGCTGGAGGCGAACAATCCTCTACCACCACGAGCTCGACAAGTGCAGCGGCGCGGAAAACGAAGCGAGGAAGTTAGTTGCAAGCAGCACACGAATTCCTCCTTGTTTGCAAAGAAGAAACTCAGGACTGTCAGCATTGATGAAGACGAATATGAAGAGAGGAACGACGATCACAAAGATGATGACGCGTGCAATGAAGACTATGAATTCGCCGCCGCCGCCGACACAGATGAACTTGAAGATGAACTTGAAGACGATGACGACGGAGTCTACAAGATTTGCTTTCACAAAGAGGACGAGAAAGAAGTGTGCGGCATTCACCAGCTTAGAAATGGCGCATATCCCAGTGCCATCGAATGATTGAACTACAATCGGAATATTGTGAGATTAGACTTAAAACTAGCGTTAAAGCGCCACGTCACACACGTGCGTATGTCACTCTCCTCCACTGTGAGGCAACAATAGGCGCCGAACATCAGTAACATTGAAAATGAATCAGGGGAACCTCAATAACCCGTACCGGTGGCAACCGGAGGTACTGAATGCATCTAAAAAGCGCAATTTTAGGTAGTTTTAGAATGCTGATGTATGGATGTTCCCATACTCAACCTTTTGGTTGTGAATCCACAACCAAATTTCTTTCAGATTTGATCCATTTCTTGTAATCTAGACTGCAGGTCCTCTATTGGTACCTTTAGTAGTTCTAGATTGACAACTTGCCTATCTCTCAATATGGAACTATCATTTTTGGAGTTCCAGTTTGGCTCCTGCTACCCTCATTTCCACAACCAAAGGAAGTTCCAAATCCACGAGGAGAATGTTCCCAGAATGCTGTGGCGCCAAGTTGGATGTGGAGAAGCCACTATTGGATGGTTGTTCTTTGTGCTGTAAGAGGAGAAGCTTCGATTGGTGAGCTGATAAGCCCTTGATATGGATGTGGCGCTGCATCTGTTCCACAAGGTGGACCTGGATTTATAAGGAGGGCAAGCTATTTTTGGATGTGTCATTGGAGACTACTGCTTTTCCACAGTAAAGGATTCAAACAGACTTCACGGAACAGCCTGCCCAGCTGCCCTCTTCTTCAAAAGCAGCCTCATGGATCACGCAACCAACCAACCAACAACAACAACAAGCAACACGCACAATGGTGGAGCGGCCGATCGCTACTGACTACTGCTACTACTATTACGGGTAAGTTTATTAGCAAGTGTATTATTGAAGGCGCAGCACTGACTTCTCTCCCTCATTGTATTCCTAGTATGGTAAAAGGAGGTAAATCCAGCCAAGCTTGGCCGACAACAGGTGAGTTGTTTAATTATTCGAATCGAATCGATCGGTCGCACCTCTGTTATCCAAGCCTCACTCAAGCCGGCTGTCTCTGGTACAGAATGGAAAGCCATCCCTCATTGAATTCTATGGACCGCGGGATGGCAGTCAGTTCTCGGCCCATGACAGCCAAGTTGGAGAAAATTGAAAACAATGGTAAGTCTCCGGTCGTCTGCAGTTGAGCACAGAAAACAAAACTCATATCTATTTGTTGTTTTCTGTGCTGCACTGCTGACGGCCGAGGAAATCCCATTGTCGAGTCCTTTCGCTCCGGATAACAAGAGGAGAAGCTGTTGTCAATCGATCGGATAACAAGAGGCTCTGTTAACTCCAGCCCTATCACCAGACTGAACGTCGTCGAGTCATTGAATGGCAACAGTTAACCGGAGGAGGCTACACGACAACTCGAAACGCACAGAGGAGAGTGGATCCTCCTACCGGATTCATCCCTCCAGTGTAATTTCCTAGTGTTTTGGTAGTAATTCCTGTGTCGGTACCCATTTTCCTGTATGCACAAGTCCTCGACAACCACGTAGAGGTTGCCAAAATGGACCTTGCCTTGCCTAATTGGAACCTAGCACTTGGTTGGGAAGATGCGGTTGGGATGTGCTTCCCAAACTAGACCTGAGGTTCCAAATTCAGGAACTACCTACAATTGTGCTTCTTAGATGTGCTTTGGAAACACACGCCGAATGTTCAGGTGCTCAAACTGATGGGGACTGAGCTGAATCGTTACATTGCCATTGGTATGTACGCGGGAAACTCGGTAGGGACCAGAAGCCGTAGGCTTCAACTTATCACTGAGACCGAGATACGCACGCTTGTAGACCAGATTATCGACCGCGTAGTCATAGGAGATGCGTTTAGCATTGGCTCGCAGCAATCGTTTGTCAACCAAGGATTGACGGTGTCATTGCACGGCCATGATGTCTGCATAAATAGGAATGTCAAGAAACATATCTCGTTTGAAGGCAAGAGCACCAGGAGTGAGATACGCGTTCGTACTCTGCACGGAACAACGATGAGCATGCATCGCTGTCGCCAAGGTTTCGGAAATGACCTTGATCCCATCAGCCACACTCTTGGGATCGTGCGAAACCACAATGGTTCGCAATACTTGACCAATTGCCTAATGAGTCCGTTCAATCATCGAGTTACCTTGTGGATTACGAGGGGTCGAGTACCGATGCACCGCACCGTTCTTTTTCACCATCTTGATGAATTCCAGTTTGAACTCCGGACCGTTGTCTGTGACCACTTTCTTAGGTCGGGGATACCGAGCAAACCACGTATCTTCGACCACTCGAGCACCTTCTTCCGACGTTCGTCGCATAATAGGCACAATCTCTAACAAGTTTGTGCAAGGATCCACCATAGTCATGGCGTTGAAAGTCAACGTCCGTTGTCGTAACTCAATCGTCCACGGACCGATTGTGTCACAATGGACTTCCTGCCAGGGCATCGCCGTAGCATCACGTGGAGCAGATTCTCCATAAGCACGTCGTGCTCGTTTGTTCTTCGCACATGCTTTGCACTGCTCAATTTGTTTTCGAACTTCGTCGCGAGTACCTCTATGGTAGAAATGTGTCTTGATCGTTTGTTCTAAACGATCCATGCCTTCGACATGTGCCATGGACTTGTGATAGAAGCTGACCAACTTGGGAAGCAACTCTTTTGTCAGGACAATCTTGTCCTCGTCATTCTGACAAAAGCATATCAGCTCACTGTTTCCAAACTTCTTCTTGAAAAATCGTTCCGGGTTATCAACCACGGTCTGTTGCAAAGCTGCACTAGCTGCTTGGTACTCGGCGAGAACCGAGAAATTGAAGGGATTCTGTCCTTCACTGTCGAATGTAGGATGCTCCAGGAAAGATTCTTCCATACCATCGTCTGGATGATGCATCAGACATTCAGCCAACCTCTGATTCTCCTCCACAATGGAATAGCACCCGTCGCTAGATGTGGAGAGGGGATCGGAATCGGTAGTGTCACGATCTTCGCGAGAAGTGGGCACCCGGCTGAGGGCGTCGCCAAGAACGTTTTCGGCGCCCGGCTTGTAATGAAATGTTGGACCAAACTCTTCCAAAAGCAATCGCCATCTCATAACACGTTGAGTTTGGAAAGCAGAAAGTTTGTGAGTAAGGTTCTTATGATAAGTAAACACATTGATGCGAGCTCCGAGCAACATAGACCGAAACTCTTTGAAAATTTCGACGATGGAAAGCAATTCCTTTTCCATGGTAGTGTAATTCTTCTGCGCGGAATTGAGTTTGCGGGAGTAGTAAGCCACTATGCGGCCGTTTTGTTTGATCGCACCGCCGAGTTGATAATCGCTGGCGTCCGTATCGATCTCGAAAGGAACGTTGTGATCGGGATATGCAAGCAAGGTATCAGCTGCTGCCAAGGCCTTCATGGCCTTGAAAGCCTGTTCTTGTTCGTCGGTCCACTCAAACTTCTTGGTACCGATAAGCTTTGTCAAAGGATCCAAGATGTGAGAACGACGAGGCCACATATCACGGTAATAAGTCACCAAACCACGGAACGAACGCAATTGCTTGATATCAGTAGGAGCTTTCATGTCCAGGATGGCGCGCACTTTCTTCGCCACAGGTTTTACGCCGATGGGAGTCAACCAATGTCCAAGGAAATCCGTTTCTTGCACAGCCCATTCACACTTCAAAGGATTGATTGTGAATCCGGCTTCTTGGAGGATCTTGAGGACTTGATCGAGCTTGTCGAGATGAGAGCGCCAATCGGAACTGAAAATGCCAATGTCATCGATGTAAACTTCGATGTCGTCTAGAGCTTTGAGTAATTTCTCCATGATTTCTTGGGCAATGTCGGGAGATTGAGAAACGCCCATAGGAAGTCGTCTGTACTTGTAAAGCCCAAAGGGCGTAGCAATGGTACACAATTCGGAACTGAAATCATCAAGTTCGAAGGTGTAATACTGCATGGAAATGTCCAACTTGGTAAGGAAGGCATAGTTCTTGTGTCGCGCCAAGATATCAGCAATGCGTGGAATAGGATAAACCTTGCGTTTGATTGCCTTGTTGAGACCACAAAAGTCAGAGATCCGTCTGACCCGACCATCCTTCTTAGGAATAATGAAAGTACCAGCAATCCATTCGGAACGACTGCCTTCTTCAAGGACTCCGATAGAAACCAACCTATCCAACTCCTTCTTGAAAATTGCTTGTTGGTGATGAGGAACAGTACAATGACGGCTTCGATGGGCAGGAACTGTTGGATCAATCTCCAAATGAATTTGTCTGCCTGTGAATTTACCAAGTTCAGGACTAAGCAAGGTGTCATACTTCTCAAGGACATCACGAAGCTCGTTCTGCTGTTCTTGAGAGAGATGAGTGCAGGACCGAACCACTGCGGTAATGTCGGCCCCCTCATACTTGGATTCGAGAATGTGTTTGGTCTTGTAACCCAAGTCAGCTGCCTTCTGTTCTTCTTCGAGAGTTGCAAAACATGAAGACTCTTTTTCGGATTCGGGGAGCATGTCATCCAAATCGTCATCCAAGTCGTCTTCAGAGCAATCTGTAGAAGCCACTGTAGGCAGGGTGTCGTCATCTTCGAGATCCGCTTCGAGGAGATCAAGGAACATAGATGTAGCAGGAGGAGTCTTCTTGTCAACCGAAGACGTAGGAAAAGGTCTCATGTCGATGCTAACCTGGTCCCATGTCATCTTGTGTCCCTTGAAGTCAATCTTCAATCCCATCTCAAGGAGGATGTCGCGTCCAATGATCATATCATACCGAATATTGCTTGCAGAAAAGACTCGAGCATGAGCGACATCGATGAAACGGGACTTGTAGAACTCTGGAAAACACAACCGGTCAAAGGTAACAACACGGTTCGAATTGACGTTGCCAGCCAATGTTGTGGTAGACACAACATCACCAATACGAGGGACTGTTCCCTTAGGCAACGCCTTTTCACTAATCCAGGTTCCACTAGAACCAGAGTCCATCAGGACTAACAACAGTCTATCAGACGGTTTAGTTTGTATACTATGTAGGACACAAAGGGCCATCGGCACCAAGTCCTTGTCCACATCGATCCCTTCAGCCGCCGCTGCATAATTCTCAAAGACCCTTGTTGATGGTCAGTAATCGCCACCGTATCCATAGGACTCTTCATAGTCATCGTAACCCCCTGTCATGGAATCAAAGTAATGGGACTCTTCCTGATAATACATCTCGTCTGTTTCCTCAGGAGGCGGCATCGAAGCAGCAGCAGGAACCGTAGAGGATTGTTCTTCGACATGGAACACATCATCGTCGCGAACATCACCATCAGCCACAAAATTATCGCGGCGAGGACTGTAACCACGTCCACGTCCACGACCACGAGGTGATGAGGCATAGCCACCACGACCGAAACGTTCAGCAAAATTGCGCACCGGAGTAGTGTTGTTGCGTTGCTGTCCGTCTGGTTGTCCACGTTGGTATTCTCGGGGAGGACTACGGTTGTACGTCCAGGTAGGAGCTCGACTCCATCCTCCGTGACGGAAGCGCTAGGAAGGAGGATAGTAACCAACTCGAGGACCATCTTCTTGACCATAGGTACGACGATAACCAGAAGAGCGTCCACCTCTTCCAAATCCACGTCCAGCACAACCACGTGCTCGACCACCACCACGGCCACGAGAGCCTTGTTGGCGAGTGTTGTAATTCTTTTCTTGACGAGCAAAGAACTGAACCATCTGCACTGGACCGATAACCGTAATGTCATGAGCGGAATCAGCAAACTTGTCTTTCCACGAAGGAAGCATCATGTTGTAAAACAACATCTTGAGAGCAGGAGCATCAAAAGGGTTCGCATTGCCAGCACCAGGGAACTTCGCCATCAAGGTGTTGATGTACTCCAACGAGACCACAAGGTCTTGCAATCGAGCTTGAAAGGCTTGGTCGTTGTCTGCAAATATCGCGTCTCGATAAAATGTGGGTTGGATCCATGGGATCAACGTGGTGAGTGTGAGAACAAACTGTCTGCCTTATGTTACTGGTACCCACATGGTATGTGGAACAAGCAAAGACATAGAGAATCTTGGTTGGTACTGGTGAGACACAGGCCATACATATGGAACCAGGGAAGCCCCATATGGTCCCATATGAAGGTTTTGACCACTGTATCACCCCAGATGGCCATGAGGCGAGCATCTACT